ACACAGGATGGCCATTGAGACTGGATATGGATACGATGGAAGACAGTGTGGTTACAGAAGGCCTGGAGATGCAACCTCTGATTTTTACCATGGGGACGAATTTGATGTGAGGGACTCTGCCAGATCCCCACAGAAAAATACATCGCCATCCCATCAGATTCATCGTGCTGCCTCTGCAAATGACTGCCACATTGCAAAGGTTCGAACCGCTGATATATACCGCACGGCAAGCCTGTCCCCATCACGTATGGGTCTGAACTCATACTACACTCACAGATCTCTGCCAGACTTGAGTTTTCTCAAAGAGAGGAGGAAATCTTTCCTCAACTACACGGGCTGTGTCAACACTGATGGTGATCAGCGAGCGACATCACCAGACTCCTCACTCTTTGACCCTGTCAAGATTCCCATAATTCTGAGCCCCATTGTGGATGTTGACCACACACGATCTCACTCGTACTCGCCCTGTAGATCACACTCATGCTCTCCTTCACGCAGGCAGACTGTTTCCTGTTGTGGATGCCCATGTTCCCCAAGGAGCCAGAGCTCTCCTGCTAAAACGGGAGAAAAGTTCTCTAAAAAATCAAAATCTTTTAACGGTTCTCCAACCTTCTGCAACAAGCAACGAGGTTCATCTCCTCTCCGCTGTGGCCAGCCATGTGGACAAGGCCAACGTGCTTCTCACAACCCCCCTGATCTTTACGCCGATCACAACATAGCCGAGCATAAAGCTAACCAAGCAGACGCAAGGCTTAAAAACTCACCCAACATTTCAAATAAGCTTCGATCAAACAGCCATGACATCATCCGAGATCAACAAACCAAATTTATTGCAGTAAAAAGGGCTTCCAGTGTATCCAATGCACACCAGGCATCTTCCAAGAATGGCCTGCGGGCTGTTAACCAGAAGGCAAGGGCTGTATCTCACTCTCCCAGTTGCTCAAGGCTGCTCCGCCATCCAGCTCCCAAATCTGCCAGCACGGGAATGATGGCGAGGCACCATTCAAGGGAGGATGTATCTAGAATGCAGGAGATGCGGACTGGTCTAAAACCTCAGGGTGGAAACACTACAAGCAATGAAGTAAAGTATCAGAACTTGGCACAGTTTGAAGATGTTAAATCTGACGGTTGTGATGTTGAGGAAAGGGATGCAGAAGGTTGTGGGGATGATGGATCAGGCCGCAGTGGTGGAAGTGGAGGATTCACCCCAACGGAGGGCGGTTACTCTGGGATGGCAGGCAGCCCACCCCTAGGAAACGCCGCCTCTTCCAAATCTGTCTCCTCTACCTCGTCATCCTCATCATCCTCATCTTCAAAGAAAGTCACCAGTGGTCAGTATGTGGTCAGCTGCTTCTCATCATCTTCAGCTTCCTCCAGTAAAAGTGACCAGAAGAGCTCCTCGACTTCAACCATTGAATCAAGAACTCTAGAAGATGAGGCCTCTGTGGAGGACCCACCAGCTGTCACAAAGCCTGACACCAGACTGACCAGGGCTCCAAGTGTTTTAACATCCAGACTTCAAAAACAGAGTAGTATTGAAAGTGATAGTGGCCTGGCTCGAACCAAGTCCACCAGGAACAACAGCTCAAAAGACATCAACTCAGAACTGTTGAAACAGAAAATGGGGACCAAGAGAGGGAGAATACCTGTCCCGATCAGCAAGGGGCCAAGCTGCTTCGGATCCAACTCTTCAATTTCATCCACATCTTCGGGTTACGCCCCTGTTAAACAGGACACTAAGGCTACCTCCAGGCTTCCAGCTGTAAACAAAAGCAGAGAACTGAGCAACAACACTTTAGAAAAGAAAACAGGCAAAAAGCTGCTGGTCAGGCCTGGGGACACTGCAAAACCAGCTTCCCAGAGGATAAGAGCAAAAATATCAAAGGGACCAATGAAAGATGAAATTATCAATAATGAGATTCAGCATGAGGAGAAAGAAGCCTGTAATATCAACTATGATGAAGACATCAGAGCCGATATGGCAGATAATGTAAACCTGAAAGATGACTTTGACATTGTCCACTGTGATTGTGGGCACGTTGATGGGTGTGAACAGGACCAGGCGGAAACCTGCCCTGTCCCAGAATGCACCAGTCATGGCATATGTCGGAGTCAAGGGTACGGGGGCTGTGGAGAGGAAGATCAGCCGGGGTGCTTAAGTTGCGATTGTGCAGACAACCTGCCAGCAGACCTTCAAGAGATCCTGGGAGAAGGCCAGGCACAGTGCTGCCACTGCACAGAACTGATGGAGGAGGATGAAAACTTGCACAGACAAAACATGGATCTCAATCCACCAATTATTGACGGCAGGGGCTGTATTGAAATGCCTGCCGATCTGGAGCACATACTTTTCCAACCTCCTCACCTAGAGAGCAGCCTGGAGAGGGAAAGTTTAAAAGCTGCCATGAATAGTTGTGAATCGTGTGCTGACCAGAACCAGAAAGAGGTGTCTATCAATGGGGAGTGCTGTAAGATGATTGAAGTTCAGGTGGAGAATCCCCCAAACGTTGTTGGACAGCTGCAGCTGTACAACTCTCTCACAGACATGAAATCCTCGGCCAGCGGCAATGCTCTGTTGGCCAAGAAAAATGTCACTGGAGAAACGGTGCACAGAAGACCAAAGTCTGATCTCACAGGCAATAAAACTAGGGGCGGCAGCCCTCATACCGTGGTAGCAGTCCCCGCAGCCCACAAGGCTGTCCCCGTGGCGCACAAGGCCGTCCCAGGCAAACGTGTCGTCAATGAAAGCTACCCCGTGATACCGAGGCACCAGGATGTGCCATCGGATGATGATCCGGGCAACCAGCAGATGCCTCAACAGCAGACGCAGGTGCCCCACCCCAAACGTCGCTGGAGCACGGGATCATCTCTGAACACATACAACTTTGAGGCCCTCTACTCGCTGCAGGAAGAGAGTGGTCACAGCTCTGGCTCTCTCCTACGATGATTTCACTCCTCAGAACAGCAGCAGTTTCTGTAAGGATGTTTGGCATGCCCCATGGGATCATGAAGGTGTGTATGGTCGCAGACAGTTCCCTAAGCAATTATTTTTATTCCTTCATTTCAGCTGCTTGTTAGTATGCAATTAAAGCTTAGCATCTGTGAGATTTCTATCAGTTATTTTCCAAATAGAAAAGGGAACCTCTGAGTGTGAGTTTATATTTTATAAAGTAAATAAATGAAATTAAGCCCATGTATAAGAAATTTTAAAAATTATTTTATGTATTTGAGTGGCAAAAAAAAATTTAATGATCAAATCCCAATTATTGAATATATTTAATCATTTTGTTGAAAACTTGGACGTTTTAACACCTTAGCTTGTGATGCTTTATATCTCACATGTAGAATGAAATGTATTCAGCTGTTGAGTTATATATTCATAACTAATTGAAAAACCCATCGTTATGTCCATTAAAATGATTAAAATTGAAAGACCATCTGTTTTCATGTGTTGCCCTCTGTCTCTCTCAGGGGACTGCTGCCACGATGAGCATCATGACCACCATCACCACCATCGCCACCACCACCGCCATCATGAGAACCCTTGCCTCTCCGCACCCATCATAGACGATGAGCTCATCCACAGGTACCACAAGTGGTTGCAGGAGAGAAAACCGCTGAAGTCATGTCTCAGGAAAGCTTCATCAGGGTATGGTCGCCCGACTACCGAAATCCTTGTGTTGTGCGGCAGTAAATTGTTAAAAGAGGATGTTTTGACAATAATTCTACCCTCTGTCTGCTTATGCTGTTTATTCTATGGATAGTTGCTGCAATTCATTTTTATAGCAATAAGTTACAACTTTATTTTTGTATTTGTTAAAGCTATAACTGAACCAGCGATGGTGTTAACCACAGTTTTTCTATTATTTTGTTGTAATGTCTCCTTCCCCACCCTCCCGGACAAGAGATCCACATGAGTAATTCTATATCCTCCTAACAGTAACTCTTTGGAAGCCCAGGCACCCACAAAGCCCCCCAGGCGGGCTAATGCCAGCAACCGACACTCCATTGCATGTGATGGCAATATGCCTCTACTTGTAACAGAAGATGGTTTCCCCAAGTACGAGGTGGTCAATATGAATGCAGGTAAATGACTGCTCTGTACTGTTGTGATGGAGATGAAATATGATATTGTTTGTAGGAAAAGTTTATAGTTTCAATTCATTTTCAAAGCTCCTTTTGGGTCAATATTAAGTTCCTTAAGCCTTGAGTTGAATAAATCTTGTTTTGTGCACCTACAAATTTCTAAATATTATTTTTTTACAAAATAAAAATAAAATAAAATTGTAACACTTTATAACCTCATAGCAGAAAAGAGTTAAAAATCCCTTCTATCCACATGATCTTCTCCCCAGTACGGATAAAAAATAAGGTGGTGGGCTCAATAACTTTGTCGATATTGATGGATTTTTTTTTTCTTCACTTTGTAAATTGTTAATTTCAATACAGCAATCTGTTTAACCAATGAATTATTTATAATTACACCTAAATTGCCATCAAATTCATCATCTTGAATCTATTTTTGACAAAATTACCATTGATCGGTGTAAAAAAACTCAAAATTTGATAAACATTGGACCTTAAACAAGCTATTTTCACTTAAAATTAGTGATTTATCCGCTTGGGAATTGTGTATACATGTTAGAATGCCTGCACAGCTAAGGGAAGATTATTCATAAATGTTTCTTGTTATGTTGTAATGTTGTATAGATGCTGATCATCATTTTTGTGGGTGTAAAGGTTAAATTTGGTCGATGCCATGTGGATATATAGTGTTAAATGAGTTTAAGTGTTCTAAAAATTAAATCCTTAAAATTTGGCACAGGATGTTTTAGAAATAAATTGTCATATTTGTTAATAGGAGATTTTATATATAATATGTTACGTTGGTCTATTTCATTGCAGAAGTGGTAAGAAGAAGAAAACCCAAACACAGGGGGCGACACTCATCCTCATCATCGTCCTCCACCTCCCACTCTGCCGCTATCTCATCCACATCATCTTCAACAACCTCAGAAGACTCAACAAAATCTAAGCGTGTCAGTTTTGCCTCTGAGGTGTCCTTCCACTCCCCACACCAGTCACCCAAATGCTCTCCCAAGCGGCAGAGTGACGACACCAAGACAGTGAAGCTGGAGGTGGAAGCCATTGAAATGGGAGGAGACATGCTGACATTACATCTAATAGAAGAAAGTAAGTAAATTGCCAGGTTTCATTTGGTGGGTGGGGGAGACATGCTGACATAATATCTAATAGAGGAAAGTCAGTAAATTGCCAAGTAAAATTTAGAAGGTGGGGCAGATATGCTGACATTAAATATAACAGAAGTAAGTCAGTAAATAATTGCCCTTGTTCATAAATTGACAAGAACAAATTTATAAATTCTTCCAGGAAAATTATAAATTATTCGCCTTAAAGCAAAAGCCCACCCGGCAGACATGTCTGGCAGTCCTATAAGTAGGTATTAGTTGAAGGACTGCATTCAAGCTATGTGAATGAAATAGTATAACAAGGTATTTTGAAGCTTGAATCAAAAGGACAATAAGATGTAAATAAGATGTTTGAGTCTTCTTCCGGCAACAACAGAGGGAATTTCTAAAGTTTTTTGTCATACTTGTTTTTGTCCTGTTCGCTGAAGAAGGCTCTAAGCCGAAACGCTCACATCTTATTGTCCTGTCTTTTGATTCAAGCTTCAACATACCTTTTTTTTTTACCATTTCAGTCCTGTAAGGGAGCTGATTTTTAAGATGGTGGTTAAATCCCCATTTAAAACAACACCTGACCAGACTCTTTACAAAGATTATTGCTTTTTGATAATTATTTTAAATTAGTGATAATCTGCTGGTTTCCACCCCCATTTCTGCTGTTATTTCACAAATCAGTAATGCTAGCTAATTTGATAATTTAAAATATTTCCATTTTCAGGCCAAAGCTCAAAGCACAAGACCAGCATTAAAAAACAGCCTCCACCTGACCCAGGCATGTCCTCCATCACCTCATCATCTCAATCATCTGCCGCCACCACTACACCAGAATCTGACACAACAGCACTGGCTGTTGCAGAGACCAAGGCTCCCACAGAAACTACAACCCACACACCACAAGCAGTACCAGCTGATGTTGCAATGGAGCCCACCACTGCTCTAATGGAAAATAATAATTTATGTATGTGCAACAAATATTTCAATTTTTTTTTACCTGCATTTGCTTTATTTTTAAAATGTTTGTACAATCAAAAAGCCTATAAAAAATAATAAAGGGCTAAGAGCTTATGAACATGATGAAGGATTTAGTATTAGCACTGAGGATTGTCAGAGAAAAACACATTTTATAAAATTAAAGCGACAGTCCGTAATACTGTATGGAATGACTTTAAAGTTATTGAAACGGTCCATTATGAATGACGTTCTGTTACTCATGAAATAACAATACATTATTAGTGTTATCAAAAGAAAACATCATTAGTCATTTAATATTTGAAATAACTTTTAATAGGGAGCAGATGATGATATATAATTTAAAATTAAAAAAAAAAAACTATTTTGACTGTTAAATATTTCTAGTGCTGCTGAAAGGTATTGCCCAAGCTGGTGAGTCACTGCTGCAGCACTTTGCTCAAGCCAAGGATCCCTTTGAAAAGGTAAATATAGTGGGAAAAGCATCAAATATAATTAAAATTACACAATATGTAAAAGATGCATGAGACATCAGGTAGATTATCCAAATTCTATAATTTTATTATAAAAAAAATATTTATTTCTTGATTGTGTTTCTGATAAAATTATTGTAAAATCTTTTAACATTTAAAGTTCAAAGCTAGTCCTCTTCTGGTCTTTTTTGTCCCCACTCCACAAGTTATACCCAAACTATTTTAGTGCTTATATCAAACAAACGTACCATTTCTCTGTTCACAGCTCAGATTAGGTAGCTCAGTTGACTCCCCTGAAGTTGCTGCCCTTGTCTACTGTGAACTCTGTCCTGCAGTGGAGCGTGTCATTGCTCATGGAATGAGAGATTTTGAGGGTGGTATGCATTTATTTGGGAAGGTGAAGCTCACTCCGTGGCGAGTAGCTGAGATGACGGCAGAACTGGGTGAGGCAAAACTGTTAGAAACATATGTAAACAATCGTCTATTTTTCTGTCAGTGCTTGCTTAATGAATTAAAATCTATTAAATAATTTTTTAGTCTTATTTCTGCAATTGCAACTAATTGTTAAGTTATTACAAGTCAAACTTTATTCAACTTTTGCTCACTACCATTATCGACAAATCATTTTCATTGATTCCATTAAGCTTAAGTATATGCCAGCTTCTATCATGTCCTTCACAAAAATGATACTGCTCTTCAAATAAGTTTCTCTATAAATGAATACAAATTAAAAATGTGGATACCTGCACCTAAAAAGTATTTTTATTTTCTATGGAAAAAAGAAGTAGAGTCTAAATCCATTAAAAAAAATATAAAAAAAAAAAAAATTCTCATTCCACTTTTTTTTTTCATATAAAGAAGAAGCTCAACATATTAGGGCACAGTTGCAATATTGATAGAGGAGGATATTTGGCTGTTGTGTGTGTGTGGTCGGGGGGGGGGGGCAGAAAAGAGTGTTAACTTGCAAGAGTGTGAAAAGCTTATGAACTTGCATGCTGGTGATGATACAAGTAGATAAACACCTTTAAAGCTCTTTGAGCCAATCGACTAGCTTCACTCATTGTTCCATGTTGTTATTTCCTGCCTGATAAGGCCCTTACACGAGGCCCTTGCACGACCTGGCCAAAGGATTGAAACAGAAACAGAGTCTGTCCTCCAACAGGCACAAGTTTTATGCTTTTGTAGCAGGACTGCTCAAGTAAGGACTCCATCTTTCATACTTAAAAAAAAAATATTACATTAGATTTAATTGTGTGTATCTGATTTACCCATCTGCAACAAACGCCAACATTAATATTTCTGAAATGTTAAAAAAAAAATATTATACAAGTAGGAATAACTTGAAAGTTATTTTTATTTTTTTAGCCTGAGACTCTTGGATTTCTGGCTGGGCTATGTGCGATGCAAGGAGAACCTGGTGCCAAAAGTATACCATGAAGATGCTTGTTTAAGGGCAAGTTTAAAGGTTAGAGGTCATGACTACCATATCATACATGAATAAAACTTTTGAAAACTTTTGGTCCATATTATGTGTACAATGTTATTTAGAAGATTATTTTGTTTGGTTTGTTAAATGTATAAAATATTCCTTAGGGTGTTCTGGAACAGTCCTACAATGGTCTCTTAGTAGCTCTGCAGCCATTGGCTGTTCTGCCCTTCCAGCTAGATTTTGGGCCAATAGCAGCCCTTGTTATGAGTGACAGTTGCATCATGGTTACATCCAGTGTTTCTAATTTTGAGGTGAGAAACAATTTATTGATGTTCATCTTGTTATTTAGCAAAATAATTTTTTTTCTTCCTAAAAAAGATTCAACATAAATATTGTTATCAGAATATTTTAACATTTATTTTATTTATTATACATTTATAGAAAGAGGAAATAACACATTCATTTTAAAAAAAAGTCTAAATAGCTCTAACTGTATCTTTACTTCTCTGACATTCAAGACTCCCAATGAGAAAACAGCAACAGAAAATACAGGGGAAACCCACAACCTCAACCACAATGCTCAACAACCAGCCAAGCATCCATCGGCAGTAGCTTCCACCCTGGCAGTATCATCATCATCATCATCTCTGCCCACCGTCTCCCTGAAATCTTCAAATGTTGCCATACCCAACACCGGAGGTGGTCAATCTGCCTGGAGGTGGTTTAAAAGCCCAACTATTTCTAATGCTCTGGCCAGCGTGGCTGCCAAAATCGGATCATCATCTTCAACAACACCACCGGCCGTTGTCCCAGCATCTGCTGCAGTTGTCCCAGCATCTGCAGCAGTTGTCCCAGCATCTGCAGCAGTTGTCCCAGCATCTGCTGTTCCTGCAAAATCTAATATTGAATCTGTCTCAGAGTCTGTGAAAGCCAAGCAAGAGGTCCTGGCAAAAACTGTAGAATTCAATAATGACCTGAGTGGAGAAAGAGAGCTGAATAAAATTAACTCCTTTAGACCAGAACGAGCAGACATCAGTAGCTACAGCAGGAATGGGGCCGTGAACATTAACATTCCTGATGACTCATCACTTCCTGCCGTAGTCCGAGACCACAGCAGCCCCATTGACAGATATGGGAGGAACAACATGTCCGACCTCTTCATTCAGGAAGATGATGAGTACTCACGTAAAGAGAGGCACTGCTTCTCCAAGACGGTCAGACAACCAGTGTCGGTGACGGCTGCTGTGGACACCTGCTCTGTGAACAGAGCACAAACCTTGCACACATACACTCTAGCTGTAGACAGCACAAACGATGCTTACCAGAAAACATGTGCTCAAGTCATTGGTGAACAAGAGGAGGACGACTCTGTTTACTCTCAGCTGGCTGTGGTTAATGAAAACTACACCAACTCCATCAAATCAGAGGACATTGATTGGGAGGAAGTTAGGAAGTATGAGGAGCATGTCAGGAAAATTGACGAACCCATCAGAATTTGTGATAACTCTGCCGTCTACACTCTGCCAAATATCGAACTGATCAGGCAGGCGCCTGTTCTCTCCGATGATCTTGGTGATGACATTGTCAGTGCACTTGATCTGAAGTCTGAAGATCTTGGTGATGACATTGTCAGTGCACTTGATCTGAAGTCTGAAGATCTTAGTGAGGTCATTACTGCAATAAATCAGGACAAAATTGAAGGAAACACTGTTGTAGTGTCTGAGCCTGGTGAAGTTAGCAGCCTAGTCCCTGCTGACTCATCTGTCCCAGCCTCTTCCTTGAGCAAGGATGCTGTCACCCCAGTAAGTTTAGAGGAGTCCCCAATTAGCTCTGGCACTGTAGATGAGAGGTCAGATGTTGAAAGTGGTAAGACTGATGTCGAAGATGTTGGGTTGACTCTTCCCCTAGAGAAGTCCAACCCTCAACCCATCCCTCAACCTGTGAAGAAATCTCCCAGATCTGGTTTCAGCCTGTTGTCATTTTTTGATAGAATCCTTCTTCCCAATGATAAAAAAAATGCAGCTGAGAAAACGGCGTCTGAAGTCGGAGATGTAAAAACAGATGATTCTGTTGTCACAACTCCAACAAAAATTGACAGTGTGGTGGCTCAACCTGTGCAAGACTTAGTTCCTGTGATAGCCAGTAAAATTTCACCTGCAGGTACCCAGCCATCAGTGCCAGCTACACCTTCAAAGCCAAACCAGTTGTCACTAGATCTGACCCCCAAGAAGACAAATGAAAGCACGCCTAGCAGAATTCGGTCTATTTTTTTCAAAACAAAGGCCCCTAACCCTGACAAGGAGAAGATAATTCAGGAAGAGAAAGAACTGAGCTGCAAAATAATCACAACAGCTGGTGCAGTCAGGAATAAGAGTGCTGAGAATTTCCCAAAGGCCAGGCCACTTTCAGCCTTTGTGGATCGCGACACCGAATTCATGGAGGACAGTGCCATATTAGACAGCAAACCTCATGCAAGACCTCTTTCTATGTATGACTTGCCCTATGGGGAATCTTTTCCAATTAGGAACACAGATTTCATCTTAACATCAAATGGCAGTCTCCCTGTTCAATTTGATGGACAGGCTGTTCATGACTTGGCCTGTACGGGATTTAAAACCTCCTCCACTCCTGCTGTGAAGCTATCAGCTGATGACGATACGTGTTCTCCAATAACAACATCACCAGCTGCTGCTGATGAGTGTTCAGAAGCCTCATCTAGTGAGTCGGACATCAGTGAGAGGCCGAAATTGATCAGTGAAATTGATGTTGCTCAAATTTGCCAATGGGATGGGAAAACTGACAACAATTTTACTGTACCAGAGTACAGGTAATTTAAGTAATACATTAGCATTATTAGACCTGTCATACATGTGGGACCTACGGGGCCCAGCCTGTCATGGTATGGTTAAATTAAGTGGTAATGAAATTACCATCATTTGACTTTAACAGGGGGTCTCACACAAGTAATATGTAGGACCCTCCTAAGGGGCATCTCATGAAAAAAGGCAAATTGTAAAAGTAGTAACCGGGCATTGAATGTAACAAAATTTTTGCAAAGAAACTAATTTTTAAAAATGAAAAAAAATTCATTACAGTTTTTATGAATAAATCTAGCCATCTTCTTACACAGATGATGACATTCAGATACTTGCAAATTATTTTTTTAATGTATTTGGTATCATTAGTCTTTCATGTATCTCTAATTCAGATATGTTTTAGCACTGACCACCTGTCCTGAAGAAATAGATTCAGACAAGCTTGCTTTCATAGAAGGAGACTACCTGCAGGTAGAATTTCATTAAAGTCTTATGCTTAATAAATGTTATCTGGCACTTGAAACTATAATCTCAATCAATTTTTTCTCATCTTTGTGATCTTAAATGAATCTTTAAATGATTGCCAAAAATACTGAATACCTAAAGTGGTGTGATCTACAGTAAAAGAATGTTCAAATAAATAGAAATTACAAATTTTAATTAGCTTTTAATTTTAATTTAAATTAGCTTTTTTAAAGATGAACTAAATTCATCAGTTCTTGCATCACTCATAAATTAAGATGATAACATCTCATAGCCTTCATTATTGGAATATCTCAGCGAATAATCGTAGCTTTCGATGTATTGTATTATAATATCATTGATTTATTATGCTTTAAAATTTTGTCATACCTCAGTTATCTTTTAATCAGATTGAGAGAGCTGTATTAAAAAAATAGAATCTGGTCATCAATCCAACAAGCTTATTCAACTTCTAATTTATGCAAGCAAAACTTTTCCATCAATGTGTATCTAAAAGTTGTAATCAGCTTTATTATTGTTCAGGTGCTTGCTCAGCTAGACTCTCAGTACATTTACTGTTCAAGTGGAAAGAAGGAAGGTTTAGTGGACCTTGCTGATGTGGAGCCACTGCCAGAGGGGGATTTTCAAGAGCCACTTAGTGAGAGCATTGACCAGTAATCGGGACATTTGCACTCAACAGTCTTTCCAACTGCTGCAGATGTGTAGATGGATGTCCCAAGCGTTTCTCTTGTGTAGGAGCATTCATTGGTTTGTTGGCTTGTGTGGGGAAGAACTCAATGTGTGTGTGTAGGGTTGATACTTACAAAAATGTTCATCTAGTCATTAGGGTGAAATTAACAAGCAGAATGTTGATATCGGCTCTTGAAACCCAAAGATAATTTAAAGGAAAATCGTTACATATATGTACATATGTATGTGGTTTTAATAATTGTGAATTGCGTTTCCATAATAAATACTTTGCTAAATTATTCCTATAATAGATTAGGAAGGTTAAAATATCAGATAAAAATAATTTATATAAAAATTTTATTGACTTTTTTTGTTGCAATATTTCATTTTCATGATGTGTGAATCGTTACACTATCTCCACGCATCGATTCAAGAGACAACTCTCCACGCATCGATTCAAGAGACAATTAAAAATCTCCTAAAAATTCAGATCACAATTCAAATCTGAAATCAGTTATTGTAGGTATTCCATGCATTTAAAAAAAAATCAACATGAAAAGCTATTGATGTAAATGAGCAGTATCGGGTTGGAGAACATGCTGGGCATATTTTACTATAAGAAAAGGACAGAAAAGGATTGGTGAGCATAATCTCAATGAACATAAGGGTTTGACATAATACTTTGACACCATTATGATTTCTTTCTATTGATCAAGGCTGTGCATCTATTGCTTTTATGTCGAGTATGTTTGGAAAATGAATGCACTTATGCTTTTTATGCATGCAGTAACCATCTGACCCAAATTTGGCAAACCATTAGTTATTTCTGAAACTATGTCCAGTCCAACATATGCATACCCCCCAAAAAAATAATAAACGACCCAATGGATTTCAATTTCAAGTCCCTTTAATTCATTATTCAATTTGTAGGTTTTGTTCACCCACTAGTGGTTTGAGTAATTCTAATCTGGTAGACATTATTTGGTAAGTAAAGAGATTTCTCAGTTGGCTGGTCCGGGATTGGGTAAACTGATCATATAGTTGACCAAATAGTTAATATTTTAGGGTTCTGTGGGGCAAGAGGCAAACTGATTTAAGTTGGAGGGCCTCTATTTTTCATATGGGGGTTCATCCTGAGGGTCAAATTGGAGCATTTTCCCCCTGTGGAGTTGGGGTATACATTTCTTTTCTGAGTTAACTTAGTAGACTGTTGGGTCTGTTTACCTTTCTACCTATTACTGATGTTTCTTTAATGAAGAGGGGGTCAATTCTCAGATGTGAGTGATCAAAGATGGCCTTGAAATTTTCATTGAAAACATAAGAAAAAGTTTGGCTCACGCTTTGGTCAAGTGGACCTGACTGAGGTGTCATGTCATGATTGGCAATTAAGGAAGTGTAATAAAGCAAAGCTGGTTGAACTTCACTTAATAATGTTGAAAGCCTTAAATATAACATAAAATTTATTCTTAGGTTGTGGGAAGACCAAAGAAGATGCCAGGCCGAAATAGGCCTGAGCATACTTTGCCAACTCCCGAGCTGGCCAAAGCCTTGGACTGAAATCCTGTTAAATAATTTCTAAAATATCTATTTGTCTTCAAAACATGCCCACTAATCATGTCTGCAAAAATAAAGAAGACAAAAATGCTCTATTGAATTGTATTGAAGTATACAAAAAAAATAAAAATAAATTATAAATCTTCAAACATAAAACCTATAATAAATTGAAACATTGTTTTGAATGAAAATTTGTAATGACTTCTGTAAACTCAACCCAGAGGGAAAAAATTGTCTCACATGTACATATTATATTATGATCCTCTATTGCCAGTTGTTTCCCTTGCATTTCAAACAAAGTCATTCTAAGTTACAGTTCCTTAGCATAGCAGTCACATTAAAAATGTTTAACCCACCACTAGTCAAAGCAATTTTCATAAAAATATTTGATTATTAATAACATTTTTATAAACTTAGATTATAAGACTTTACAACCAGATTCTAGTGATAACCCTAGGCCTAGAGTCAGAAAACTGGGTGTCATTTTATAGGAAGCCAATGTAAACATACCACTGTTTTTAACTGTGCAATCCTCAGCTTCACACCACCTAGAAATCTAGAAACATTGGTTTGACTGCTGCTAACAACTTTGCACTTATGACTAAAAACTCGGATTTTTTCTCGTCTTTCTGAAAGCAGTATTGCTTTGCTCACCAAATTTTCTTGTTTTCAATTCAAAATTGTGTAAATTGAGGAAATAACCTTGTGAAAATGATAGATTTTTGTTTTCCTTGGTCTTAATATTTCTATAAATCTCTGGGATACTAAGTCATTCTATGTCTTTGGCATATCATCTCAGACATTCTTTGAAATTAAAATAGAAACATACGGTTAACACTGAAATTAAAATAGAAAAATATGGTTAACACTTTCCGTAAAGCCTTTACTTTTCAATGTCAACAAAATATTAACTATAGGTTCAAAAAGACTCGATTGCATTCTCTGTTGTGAATTCATAAAAACTTCTCTTTCGATATTGTTATTTTCTAATGATTCTAATTTTTTTGCTCTTGTGATATATTTTTCCTTAAAAGAAGCTTGGAATGATATAAAATCATAGAAACTATTTTCTTTAAATTAAAATGTATAAAAAAATTTTTTTCTTGTTAATCCTACGTTAAAAAAAAAAAAAAAAAAAAGTAAACACAACACAAATATAAATATATTAATTTGTTAGTGACTATTGATGTAGATACAACTTTATATTTAGAAACATTCTTTACAGTGTAAGAAAGTTACTCTTGTAAATTAAGACAAGGAAAAATCATATTTTACAACTGCTTTGGTGCATTGCTTTGTCCTCACGACCAAGTCATTCATTAATATCATATAAGCTGACCATTAAAAAGGACATTAAACTTGATTCAAAGTTCATTATTATGAACCAGTGGTTCCCAAATTTTTTGACTTGGAGAGGCCCTCCAATTTTTAGAATTTTAGAATCAATTTTTAGAATCAATTTCTTTTGGGGTGCCCCTTATGCCTACCCCATTTCCTACAAGTTAATTGTGGTTTATTTAATTTCATTGAGCGGTTGGGAACCACTAATATAAACTGATCACTAAAAGTTACATAAAATTGTATTCGAATTTTAGGGTGCGTTTCTAATCTCAATAGTGGAGTCCTTAAGAAAACAACCTCTTTAATTTTTAAGAACAAAAACTAACCCAAAAGATGTCTTTTAAGTTTTCATCACTGTATTCAGGCTTTTGTTAATTACATTTCTTGACTGAACCAGAAATGCTCGCTGTCTGTCCTAACATTAATCCTTGCTGATATCCGAATGTTTATTCTGTCGTATCACCTATCAATGTCAGGCTTCTTCATGGTGGTTCTGATTGTCATTTTTATATAACAAACTAAGACATTACAAACTTATATACATTAATTAATATATGTTATATTTCTTGTGCAATAAATAATTATCCTCCAATGGAACCTAGCAGATCTATTTTTTGTGTTGTGAAAATCCCGGAATGTCTATTCTGCATGTTAAACTCTGCTAAATTTAACTCAATGCTGTCACGGATCATGAAATCCTCATTAATCAATTTTTCACATTTATCCATGAGATGGAGTTAAAAACTTAAAAAAAAAAAATCCTTATTATATATCATTGTCAGAATTTTCTGTCAGATGACTCTGAACTTATACTTTAAATGATCTACAATTGTTCATTAAAGAATGTTTTAATTTTTTTTATTTGAGATTATGAGTGATATTTTTGTGCTTGCAGTTGAATTAGCTTGTATACACATGGCTTCAAAACTCTTTCATTTTTACACCTGGCTGTACTTTTTTTTTTTCCTCAAGAAAAGGATGAAAATTATCTGCATTATAAACATGTTTTTTAATAACATCTCACTATTTGATGAAGTGGATGATACATTTATTCACACACAAAAGGGGACAATAAAAGAAACAACATAAGAAATAATTGGAACTAGATCAGAAGTAAATACTACATTAGTCCGTAACTGTTTTGATGGCTGCGTAATTCATTGTATTGGCATATATTGGCACCATCTAGCACACTGTTAGTCTGTTCAAAATTGAAGTATCTTAGGTGCTCTACTGGGCAGTGTGAAATTCCACATGAACTTTGTAGAAATTTTGTTTATGCAATGTAATTTATTCCTTTTTTATTGCGGATCAGTATTACTAATAATTTACCATTGGCTCTAGCATTGATGTGTTAACATTAGCATTTAATGTTATCCCATTTTTTTTTTACAATACATCAACACCATTTTTTTTTGAATCATCATCATCTCCTATTCATCTTCCAAGATATTTGTACACCTTGCAACTTTCGACTTAAGTCTAGCTTGGTTTTTCGTCCCAGAGCGTAGTTAAAGCTTGGAAGATATAGGACTGAGCTCACCCTGTCTTTGTATGATGGAACTTGAATGTGGTGGTCTGGGGGTAAGTCAAGTGTCAGCAATTCAAGGAAATTAGAAAGTTGGGATTATTTTTAGTTGCTGGTTATTTTAGTATTTTTTAAAAATCTTGATAAATACCGTACTAATAAAATTTTGTAACAATAACACAATCACATGTCCTTGATAAAAATAAATTGATGAATTAAATAGAAAAAAATATTACTTTATATAATTTTAAACTCATCTAGTAAAATCCATGCTGTGAGATCTAAACATTTATGTGCTACCTAATTAGTTAACACAATATTCCCCACCCATACCCAACCCTGCTTGTCACTAACTACAGATGCAACCATTCATTTAGTGCTAAAGTAGGCTTCTTTGAGTTAATGTGCAATATTTTAGTGCATAGCATCCTTGATTAATTTCGCTGTTCAAACTTCAATTAAGGTCCACTATTGAAAATGTTGCAATGCTTTTTATCCACATACAAATTATCTCATCCCTGTCTTTTCCTTTCCAATATTTTGGATTTTCAGTTTTTAAAAAGTTTTTCTGGTCGCTGTTATTTAGTCTGTCTTATACAATTGATTTTTATTGAGATCCTCGATCCATCATCAAAAATTTTATTCTTTAAAACCTTCATATTGTTATAAATATTTATTCCATTGAATGTTGCACTTACAAGATGTCATTAGGTGTTACTTGTTTTCATTTGATGTCACACTCGGCACTTGTTACAGACCAACGCAGAAATAGGTATAGTGAGATTTAGCAAATACTCTGTGCACTTGTTACAGACCAAACGCTGACATAGTGAGAAATTAGAAAATGTTTCTGTAAGATCATTATTAAGATGATTTTTGCTTATTTCGAAATGTCAACAATTTCTTATTAGACAAGTAAATATACTTTATGATAAGAACTGAGGTTATGAAAGGATTAGGAAATGAGTGAAATTTTAGGCAGTGAGTGCCTGACCCTTAATTGTTAACATCTGTATAGCAGCTGACTTTGGAATGACAAGATATAGCTCAAACTTGTTATTGCTGAGATTTAAATTATTTTTTTTTGTTCCACTGCATTTTGAAAAGTAACATTTATATGATACATACTTTTAAACGAATTTGTTTCTGATATTTCATATTACAACACTAAGCTTTTTGTTTATAGAATGAGATCTTCAATTATTAGAACAAAGGATACACAAACCAAAATATGTTCATCTTTTCTAGATAAATAAAAAAAAGGGATGGTTTGATCATCAGCACTATTGTGCATTGCCATGACATGATTGCTGTGACATGACATGAGACATTCTGACATGACTGCAAGACATGAGACTGCCTTGACATGCTACATGACTGATGTGACATGACACATGGCTGCTGTGACATGATATATGACTGCTATGACATAATACGTGACTGCCCTAACGTGACATGACTTCCATCACATAGTTCATGACTGCTGTGACAAGACACAGGACTGCAGTGGCATGGACAAAAGTGTCAAAACATCTACGACTTCACCATTTCTTACTGTGATTATATTATGACCACTTAAGCATTATCTCGCTCTGAAGAAATATCATCTCATTTAATCTCATATTTGAAAATTAAAATAACCCTTATAACAAACAACATAATAACTTACTGTTTTATCACAATTTTTAAATTTAATTCTTTTACTTTAATTTTTAAAGACATAAATTAAACCCCCCCCCAAAAAAAAAAGAAAAAAAGAAGATTTATCAAAAGAATCAAATTGGCACCAAAAAGTACCATGCAAAAAAAAATATTTGCTTTCAGGACATTAAAAAATGTTTATTATGAATAATTCACTGAAATTAATGTTTATGTACATAATGAATTATTATTTGTGTTTACACTTTGGTTAAAATAATGTATGCATTTCTTATCTTCTTTCCTTACTTTTTTTTTTTAAACCTTACATTTCTTAGGATTTGTAAATACCAAAGGATTTCATGTGTTTCAATGGGATATTCTGTCTAGCTGGATCAAACTTTTTGTTTCGTTTGTCTTTGTTGTATGTACGATTCATCTGTCTATATAATATGTACAGAATTAACCAATGTCTCTGTGTGGGTAGTTTGTTATTGAGCATGGTTTTGTTCTCAATTTTTTTTTCACCTTTACATTTTTTCATAAACAATTTTAGGACTTTATTATTCTTCAATATTTTACAAACAACCTGAGGATTTTATTTTTTAACATGCTCCAAAGGAAACCAAGGGCTGTGGCTTTTACCGCATGCAAATAAACGTTCATCCACCCCCCCCCGTGATGAAGATCATGGGAAGGGCACACAAGAGTTTTACCCATGCAAATAAACGTTCACACCCCACTCCCCCGTGATGAAGAGCTTGTGAAGGGCACACAAGAGTTTTACTGATGAAAATCATTGGTCTATTTTCTTTTTATTCCTGCAATTTCAAATTTATGTTTAAATATTTTAAAAAATCTGATAATTTATGGTCATTGGAGAGATTCTGTTGCGTGAGTTTTTCTTGTCAGGCAACAGATTGGGCTGTGGATAGGAACCAATGAACTAAGTTTTTATGTTTACCGAAGATACATTTACTCTGTGTAGTCGTCGTGAAGAAATAAACACCCAGTTAGTGTTGTACTGAGTTGCTTTTACATTTGTTTAAACATGTCTCTGTCAAACACCCAGTTAGTGTAGCACTGTAGAGTTTTCTAAATGTTTGAACAAGTGTTGGTTGGTACATGGTGGTATGTTCTGTTCTATTTGTATTTACTCTAGTGCAGTTAGAACATGTGCTATTCGGTATATGCACTGACCACTGGTCATAGCTGAAGCTTTGTAAGTATATATATATATATGAAATCCTTTATATTAACTTCCCTTTTGTTCGTGGTTGGCTGGCAAAATCTTCAGATGGCTAATAGATCCACTTCCCGTCAACCCATCAAGATGAAACTTGGCACATACACTCGTTGCTGATGACAACACACTCTATCAAATTTCTAGCTCTACCCCCCAACCCATTATGAAACAGTTTTTCCTGTTTTCCAAGTGGAGTATAAAGGAAAATTCCAGGGCTAAAAGAGATTCTTAAAAAAAATAAATATCACAAGTGCATTTGGTATGTCAAAGAGATGTGTGAAATAAATCTGCGGTGTAAAAGGTGGTGGGTCAATAAAATATTAATAAGAAAAAAAAGTGTGAAAAAAAGTGAGCAGTCGCGAACCTTGAAAAAGGTGTGTTTGTGTAGGGGGGGGGGGGAGGGGGGGGTTAGAAGAACTATTGGGATTCTTATATTTTAATACTTGTATAAGCGTTTTATCTATTTTTCAGCCCCACTCCCCATTCCTTGATGTTACATTTCATAAATGATTTTTATAAAAAACTTTGTTTTTAGGGGTTGTTGAGTTTGGCTTGAAATTGGGAGGAGGGTGTCTAAAACAACTGATGTGAGGCTACTGAGAACTAATTCATCTATTGTTGAACCTTGAGTGGGTCAACGATATGTATGGGTCTAGGGTAAAGGAAATGTCTAGGTCCAGGTTGCATGTGTAGGTATATTTAATTAGGTAACACAAACAAAATGAAGTACTGTGGACCAATCAAATCAGCTTCACATAACATCAAACAAAGATCAAATAATAAACTCCTATACACAATAAACATATTTAATTATTGCTAGTGAAGAGTTGTCATTTTGTATGAAAATTTTCAACAATCATAACATCATGGAAAATATCCCTAATGTCTTTGAGTATTCTGGTCCAACCCTAACTTAGTCCTTGGAAGTTGTTGGGAAGAATAGAATCCTCCTTCATACTGACACAGGTGTTGCTGCATCTCCTGGACTCTTGCCCAATGTCAAGTTACCATAATTCCTGGTAAAGCGTTGACAGTTTTCTGTCTCACATGTATTAGAGGCACATGTGATCATGGTGACATTTATAGAAATATCAAAATTCAAGCCATCTTGGTCACTTTCAAGTAATGAGTGATATTGCATTTGGTAAGTGGGTCAACCAGGCCAGGTTAAAAATATGACTGTCCACCATAATTTTTGTGTGCAAAACTCAGTCTTTATTTACATTGTGGAGTCCTTATTAATCTGTGTTCAATCCACTTTTGTTTCAGCAGTGCAGAAATGAAAAGGTTTTGTCAGATCAGCTATGGTGTAATCAGTTCATAATGGCCTCTATAAACAGACAACAAAACAGGGAAATATTAGTTCCACCATACGCATTGCGCAGTTATAGAACAGAAAAAAAAAAAATCTTAGCTACTAAAATGCTCAAAAGTTCTAAAAATAATTAACATTTTATTAAAATTAAATATGTAAATGTAAAGATCTCTTAACTAAAGACTGATTTTGCTGACCCCATTTTTATATTTTTAATTTACTAATTTAATCATTTTACCAATGCATGCACTGCCCAGCCGGGCTGTCTCCTAATGCACCATTACTGGGAGAGAGAACTGATAATTTTTTCATAACAACATATTTACAATTCAAAAAAAAATTGTAAAAATCCTCCTGACTCTTCCAATGTATAAATAATATTCATCAAATCCTTAAACAATTTTTTTAAGGTTACAAATACCTAACAGCTATACATACAGTTAGAAAATAGATGTAAAGTCTCCAGTTAAGTATTTCCTCATAGATTATAGATTAAGATGTAAACCTGAAAATTAATTTATGTTGGTTACAAACAAAATTTAGAACTGCTCTTCTCTGTATAACTGAAGGAAAATTATTTTAGTTACCTTTTCCTGATCGTGTCTTTCTGCCTTGGCTCTGTCGTTTAGAATTTGTCGCAATTGCACTAGCGGAAGAAGTCTGTTTCTCACTATCTGACACACCTGTTCATACTGTGAGAGAGAACATTTATTACCACAACTGTTTGCACGGTGAGATATAGTCAGTCTCTTAGTACAACTACTGCTCAGTGATTGAGAAAATAGACCATCCATTAGCTAAAGAATTTTCAATTCACTAAAACACATGTTCTTCCCTGCGAAGGTTTCCGTCAGAAATTTGATCGATGTTGTTTTCTCAATTTGGTTTATGGGGTCACTAATCTTACTTTCTTTTTACATATTTTTGGGCTCATTAATTTTAATATTTTATCTATATATGGAGTCATTAATTTTAATATTTTACCAATGTATGGGGGTCATTGATGTATTACATATGAAAATGGGGGAGGTGGTGGAATAAGCAGACTGCTTACAGGTCATGCTTCTGGGGGAATTAAAAATGGGATTGTTTACTACTCTAGAAGAAATGATATATTGGACAATCCTACACTTATGTAATAAAAGGTGACCTATTTCAAATGTGAGCTAATGTACTGTTAAGGCACAGGCACATATCCTCATTTCTTTGCTCTTCTAGAACAACTTATCTTTGTCTTAATATCCTTCAGATCACTAGCTAAGCTGTTCATGTCCTCATCCCTGTTCTCATCTAGAACAACTTATCTCTTATCTTTGTCTTGATGTCTTTTAGATCACTAGCTAAGCTGTTATGTCCTCGTTCCTGTGCTCTTCTAGAACAACTTATCTCTTACCTTTGTCTTGATGTCCTTTAGATCACTAGCTAAGCTGTTCATGTCCTCATTCCTTGGCTCTTCTAGAACCACAAATCTGTTCTTGAGCTGCTCTAAATCCGTCTCACATTTAACTGATGCAGCTGTGACAGATGAGGAAACATCATCAACAGTTCCGTGCAGGTTCTGCACTGTTGTGTCCAGGCCTTGCATTCGTTGGGTCAAGGCCATAAACTGAGACTCGAGATGATACGACGAGTCTATCATCAATGTCACTTGATTTTCAACACTTTCTATCTTGGTCAGATACTCCTCCTTCAGCTCTGAAAGATTATCACTCAGATTTATAATTCTTTGTTCTGTGAGATCAGATGTGACTTTGAACTTTGAGCCAGCCTCCTGCTGGTCAGCTAGGATTCTGTCAAACCGGATGTTCTGCTCAGTATCCATTTCTGAAATCTTTGTGGATAATTTGTCCAGCCGTTTGGATGTCTTCAATTGTTTTGCGGTCTGCACTTCTTCGTCAGATGACTGCTTTTCTTTGACACTTAATAATTCCAGGGACAAGTTTGATAGGTTATCTTCCAAAGACATTTGTTTGTCAATAAGCTTCTTAAAATTATGATCAAGGGGAGAAATTCTCCCTTCAAGAGCAGACAACTTTTCTGAGAATGCGTCTAAATTTGTTTGTAAAGATGAAGTGATCTCCTTCATTTCTGAAGACAATATTAAAAATATAAAATTGTTAATATACCTGAACTGTCCACGCTCTAACTGATCATTTAGGAATATTTAAGTGTGTGTTTATTTGTGTTTATTTTGGCCGGGAGGTGGGGTTGGCATCTGGGTATTTTAAATAATGAAAAATTTAAATAAACTTGATGTTACCAATTCAATTTCTATCAATCAAGACCTTTAATAAAAATTGATATTTTTAAGTGACAATGTTCATTTGAAAGCAATAAAAAAAATATTTCTTCTGTCTTATGTTCTTTTCTCACAAGTTATAGCTGACATCAAAGGTACTTGAAATCAAATTATGCAGGTCGCTGCTCTACAGTCATGTGTTTCATTTAATTTTCACTATATTAACTTAGTAATAGTCATGGGTGATAAATATTTTTGAAAATGAAGGATGATGAAAAAGTTAAGATGCTAATAAATAAATTCTTAACCACTGTGCTTCTGTGCTGCTGGCAGCGATGGCGTGATTGCTGTTGTCTGCACCAGTTGTGTGGAGGCTGCCTGCCCTGGAACAGTGGGTTTCAATTCCAAATCCAGTTGCTTATCAAAAGCTGTTTAGATAAAATTATTCCAGTTTTTTAAACAGCTAGTTAAGATATGTATATATATATATTCTAAATTGTTAGCGGTTAAAATTCGGGGCTTCCCAGAATTTTCAACACATTCACCACCACACACAATTTGAAATTGACTAAGTCTCAAAGGCCTTAAAAATTGTTTAACTAGGTGTTGGACCCCTTACAAAACTAGAAAATGCACATTAATTTTGAAAACTTAGGAGAGGTTAATAAATCTAAAAGAAAATGGTGGTTATAATTGTTTATATTTGAATGACAAAGAGAATCAGAGAAGTTACAAAATATATCAACCCATCCATCAGCCGATAATGTGCCATAGCTGCATTTTTCATACATGTGAACATGGGCGCCCGCAGAAAACTTTCTGGGGGGGGGGGGGGGGAAAAAAAAGGATAAACTTTCAGGGGGGGGGGAGAATTTTTTTTTTGTTTCTTTTTTTCTAAAAATTTTTTTACCCAATCAATCCCGGGGGGCAAATGCCCCCCCCCCCCTTGCCCCTACCTGGGGGCGCCCATGCATGTGAATCTTTGTATACTCATCTGCTGTAAGCTACATATATTATTTCACTTTATTATTCTTTTAATATGATTTAATTAATATTTAAATTGTTTGGTTATTGTTTTAAATTTTTTTCAGGCTAGAAGATGCTTTCCCCCCCCCTGCAAAAATGATTAAAATAAATATATAAAAATATAGTGATACAAGATTAGATATATACAAGTAAACAATCTGGGATACAGTGCAAACGCAAAAAATAAACCGGCAATAGATGAGGGAACACTGTATGTGATATTGGATCAAATCTCACTTACTCTGCAAGTTTACAGAAATAATATTTTAAAAAACCTAAGATTTCAGCAAATGGATCTGTCATCATCTTGATACTCTATATGTGCATATTCTGTTTTAAGGGATTCTTTTTACAACAAAACATTCACACTTGATCACATTTATAAATAAATAAATGACAACATTTTTCAGTTTGAAACTAACTTAATTAAAGAAGTATTTATAATGTATTTAACTACAGCATAATGTATAGACATTAATATGGATCTATGATTCCTGTGCCAAAAAATGAATCTAATGTGGCAGTAAAACTACGGTTACCTTGTATTTCCTCAGCTTTACATGTAAAGAAAGTTGCTGCTTTGTCCAGGATGTGTTTGATATCGTCACAGGACTGATGACTCTGGTTCTCTAACCAGTTCTCACCACTGAACAATATCTAAAATTGTCATTATATATAATGGATAGTATAGTTGCTAGTTGTGTGAATGAAAAAAGGAAGGATATACTGAGGTGAAAATCTGAATTACTATCAAGCCTAAGAGTTATGAGTTTAGCTGAATTACATTTTTCCTTAGTAATGAATCTAATGATGTCATCTAGGATTTGAATACCTTCCTGTCAAGTCTTTCTAAGCTAAGTTCTTAATTTATTCTCTCTCTCTTTTTTTTTCTGTTTGCTGATGACAGTTTTCAGCTGACACATTTTTCTGATTGTCTGGTGTCATAATTCCGACAAAAATATTGGCCCACCCTGGGTGGGAATAAACCCAAACTAGACCACTGAAATTTTAACAATGGAAAAATATGTTTTCCTCTTAAGTTATTGTCGTTGTCATAAGTCTTAAGCCACACCAAGAGCTGCAAGCAATAAAGATAATCTATTGTCTCCAGCATACGGAAAGATGCCATACCATAAGTCTTAAATAATAATATATTATATTATATAGTCAAAGAGTTACCCATTTATTCATAAATGTACCACGACCACATTTTTTTATAGGTCTTTTTATAAATATTGCACATGACATGCAATAGGTTTATAAGGGCCTAGCCAAATTGATGGAATATTATCTTAATCTCATCATTCATCCTCTTGATTAATTCAAGAGACAAGTTAATTTTTACATCCTTGGACTTGACTCACCTTATCGAACAAGTCTTCTAATGTCTGATGCAACCAGATTTTCTCTTCCTTTAGAAAGCTGATTTTTGATCTGATTAGGTTTTGATTCATCTTATATTTAATTAATTTTAAAAATTTCTCTCTACAGGGAATTTGTATTCTTTTCTCAATTTCTGAAACTGTTGTTGAAAATTAATGTTGAAATATATTTTATACAACTTAACATATATCAATATACTATGTAATATAATATATCTATCTATATGTATTACTATGACTATATCTATTATATAATGATTATATTGGTTTTACTTTCAGCTCAGACTATGCTATGACTAGACTTAGACTAACAATACATTGTGACTATGTGTAGTTATATAAATTGTTATTTGTTAAGTACCTATAGGCCTACTATATAAATTATATACTAAGACTTAGCCTACTTATAGTATAGTATAACACATATTCACTCACATTCACATTGTTATTGTAACTTTGGTAATTTTTAAAAAAAAATACATGGTTATTTTAAGTATTTTCTGATTTATAATATTATTATGACAGATTAACGCATTTTCCAGAAAACGTTTGTCTTTTTTTTGTGTGTTAAAATCACATGCAAAAAGTAATTATCGATTGTTACAGTTAGTAGAGTTTGTAGCCTATACTTTGCCTTCACCAAGTTAATTTCTGCTAGACTACTAAAGACTACTATTACTATCGAAGTAACGCTTCCCTATTACTATTGTAAAATTAAAGTGAAACTGAAAGTGATAAATAAAAACGTCATACTATAACTTATGATTATCGGCATGGGCCGATTTTTCAAAGTAGTCAATTATTTTTATATGTAAGGAAATTTTTCCGATGCCACTAGTACTACGTAATGAATGTTGCACCGAAAAGTAACCGCACTTTCAAAGTAATCATGCTAAGCAATCTTAGCCTGGCTAACGTACTGTAATGGTGCCACTCATGTTTTAACAAATCCCCAGGTTTAGTTAATTAATTTCCCAAGATTGTAATGAAGATAAACAGCAGGCCTATTATTTTCAAGACTAGCTTGCCAAAAATCAATTTTTGGTCATTGCTTTTTATTTGTTCACCAAAAAAATTTCCAGGCCTGCGAGGAAAAAAAAATGAGGGCTTTGTTTGGAATTTTAGGAAGATTTATTTTATTGTAAAAAAAAAAAAAAAAGCCTGGGAACCAAGCCGGTCAAGGGTACATGACATCAGGTGATCACTAAGTGACAATGTAGGAAAGGATATCTCGAATGAGTTAGACCAGTGGTCGCCAAATCACGACTCGCGAGCCGCATGCGGTTCTTTAGCGACCTGAGTGCGGCTCGACCAGTCGGCCACAAGTCGGTTTTGATTCCGAAAAATATGGTTCTTGAAAAGAAATTTGGCTCTGAAATTTTAAAAAAATGTCCTGCTTCTGATTTTTGGCTCTTTTGACTTATGAGTTTGCCGACCACTGAGTTAGTGTAATGAGTTTTGTAGATGTTGGTAAATGTGGAGCGTCCATGCAGACCCTGGATAGTGTTAGTTTAATTAAGTAGCGTGATCTAAACCCCCAAACTTTATAGATATCAATCAGGGACGTCATTTGGGTAGAGCACGTATTATTTAAATTGCCTCAAGTAATAAACAACTTAACCAGTCGAGCAAATTTCGGGTTTGCCCCCCCCCACCCCCTACTGAAAAAACCTGAAATGACGCCCCTGATGTCAATAAGCGGGTAGATACATGAAATAGACGTCCGGGGTGAAGGATCCGGTCAAAAGTTCTCTGCTCAGTACCGCTTCTGCAGATTGTTTGTCAGGTCGGGAGAATGTATTCTCTAGTAACATGATAAGTCTCTAGTATGCATGCGGCTCTTTGGAGACCTGAGTGCGGCTCGTCCAGTCGGCCACTAATCGGGTTTGACTCAGAAAAACATGGTTCTTGACAGGTTCTTGAAAAGAAATTTGGCTCTCAAAATTTTTTAAAATCGTCCTGCTGTTAATTTTTGGCTCTTTTGACTAACGAGGTTGCCGACCACTGGATTAGACCAACATGTTTCTCTTAGATATTTTCATAAAGTTATCAAAACTTAACAAAAAAATAAAATTATTTTTCAAATTTATTATACAAAAAACAACTTGCATAATTCAATAAATCAGTAAAAACAGTACATATGTCTGTGAATAAAGACAGCACTCCTCTTTTTTTATATTTATTAACGCATCAAAGATCTTGAATGGAGTTAATGAAGTTCGTCTAAGATCGCGCCTAATCTCAGGATATCAAAGAATGTAAAGTGAAACTGGTTCTTGAGAGCTTTGTGATAGCCACGGGGGTCCTGATGATGGAATTAGGGAGATGGAAAAAAAAAAGAATAACAAGGAAAATAAGCCTTCGTATTAAAGCCACAAACATTGATATGTAGCTAGAAATATTGACATGTAGCCACAGATAATGAACAGGTAGCGAAAACTATGGACATTTAGGCAAAAAAATGGACAAGTAGACACAACAATTCACAGGTAGCCACAACAATTGGCAGGCAGCCACAACAATTGAGAGGTAACAATAGCAATAGACAATTAGCTGCAGCAACAGAGAGGTAGCCACAACTATTGACATTTAGCCAAAAACAATGGACAAGTAGACACAGAAATTAATATGATTAACGGATTAAAACGAGAAAGGAGATTCAAATGAGGCCCTTCAAAAATGTGCCCCCCCCCCGCCCACACCCATCTTCCTGTCATTTCACTAGACATCACTCTTTCTATCAATTATGAATGAATTAATGAAGTGCCATAATTGACCACGTGAGAGGGAGTTGTTCTAAAGTTAACGCTCCTTTATCTGTGCCTACCAGTTCTCGCATTCTCCTCAGTTGCCATAGCAACTCTCCGTTTAAGTTGGAGAATTCCTCAGGAAACCTGGGAATCAGAAAAATGACACAATGTCAGGATTGTGGATTAAGGAGTAAGAGATGAGGAGAACAATTTGAGATCTGAGACCCAGGGCGTGGGAGCTGATGACCAGGGTGTGAGAGGTGAGGACCAAGGCGTGAGACATGAGGACCAGCATGTGAGAGCTGAGAACCCACAATGGGAGAGCTGAGGACAAGGGTGTGAGAGATGAGGACCAAGATGTGAGAGATGAGGACCAAGATGTGAGAGCTGAGGACAAGTGTGTGAAAGATGAGGACCAAGGTGTGAGAGCTGAGGACAAGGGTGTGAGAGATGAGGACAAGGGTGTGAGAGATGAGGACCAATGTATGAAAGATAAAGACAGGGGTGTGAGAGCTTAGGACCACGAGGTAAACGCTAAGGTCCACACTTTAAGTGCAGGGGACCACAATGTGGACGTGAAACTATTGCTGTAAAGAGATAAATTACAACGCTTTTCATACGAATTCTCCTTTATTTTTAGGGGAAAATTAGACAAATGTCAAGGGAAAAATTCAATATTTTTTATGTGTGGTAGTAACAACGTTTTGTACAATGGACGGGTAGTTAAACTCACTGAAAGAGGACTTTGCGGGTGTTGGGTGGCCGAGTCAATCTCAAGCTTGTGGCCTGCAGCTCAATCCCAGGGAAAAGTCTACATAAGCAAAAACATCAAGAGCACCCCAGAGGGATGGTACTCGTTAACCTTGGATGGCAACTCATCTAAATGAAGGAAAACTCTGAATTCAAAGACAGAGATGGAGCCCCGTAGGCGGTATGAAATTGACACAATGAAAATTCCGGAAACTCCTACGGCGCTACTGGTGTCAGTGTGTATAATCCTCACATGAATTTCCCGTGGAAAGAGCCGTACGACCCCGAGGTTGAGAACCGCTGGGCTAAGGCAAGCAATGAATTAAGCAGCTGTATAGTTGACTTACTCTCTAAAACCTTTTGAGATGAAAAGTTCCCTGATGGCATCGACAGAAAAACTAAAACAATGCGGCTTACTCCCCGTGACTTCCGGAACAGCTGGATTTAAACAGGAAAGAGTAATTTTAAAAAATGGTACAAGCTCAGAGGTCAGACAAAGTCTGTCAATAAAAACAAATAAAGCTAGCCATGAATAAAGGTTAAAGGTTTCCTGAAGGAAATAACCTGAAGGCAGAAAATATTCCGAAGGATAGGTTTGATAAGGGGAGGGGGGGGTCGTTTATACAAGACGTCCGCAAAAAAAGGGGGAACAGGGGCGTCTTTAAATGCGGACAACCAAGGATAAAGTGGAGGGGGGGAGGGGGGACATACAATCTTAATCCACCAAGATCAAGAAGATAGGTAGGGAAGGGTAGTAAGTCACATACGAAAAGGGGTTGGAAAAGATGGCATTTTATTTTGGGCGTCCTCTATGAAGAACGATTAACTGATACAATGTATCATTTTGAACAAAACATAGCCTACTCAAACTTTTGTGAAAATTGTTAACTTAAAAAAAAAAACGGAGTAAAAATTGTTGAAGCTATCTTAATGATGTAAGTATTGGAACCCGGCAAAAAAGCTTGTTAAAAATATTGACCATCAAATGTTGGGCGTGAAATTTCTTTTTGTTGTTTCAACTTACGTGCTGGTACCGTCGGTCGTTGACCCTCGCGTCCAGATTGGGCAACCTTCAACTCTCTCAGGAGACCCTAAAAAAATTAAACATTGACAAGTAGTCAGTCATATCATATTGACAGGAAGCGAGGAAAAAGCTGTCTAAACTGCATGGGAATGTCTCACTTGTTTGGAAATGCTTCACCAATAAAGGAACGTCTCACCCGTTTCCGAGTGTCTTACTGTTAATTAGTGTCTCATATGTTATAGAGTGTCTCACCTGTTTGAGAGTGTCTCACCTATTTGGGAGTGTCTCACCTGTTTGAGAGTATCTCACCTGTTTGAGAGTGCTTTACCTGTTTGGGAGTGTCGAAAGGATATTTCCCGCTGAAGTCAAAGAAAAGCCTCGACTCTAACAACGCTCCCAGCCAACCATCAGGCTGGTACTTAAGCTGAACAAGAAGTGGGATGTACTGCTTTTTACGCTGGTAGGTGTAGCCGGCCTCTAGGTGGACATATTTATAAAACAACATAGACTAGGTGTATGACTGATCTATATGTGAACATACACTTGAAAAACAACAGCATAGACTAGGTGTATGACTGACCGTTATATGAGCATACAATTAAAACTCAAAAACATAGACTGGTGCATGCCTGACTTATGAGTAAAGTCGTCGCGTGACTTTTTGGCAGCGCCCCTGACTCTTTTCGGTTTTGTACCCACTTCCCCCCGACACGTTTTCCCCTCTTTCAGCCGGAGGGCTTGTAGGGCCCAATTGACGGCCTTACCTATATATGAATATACAACTGAAGCTTATCAACATAGACTAGATGCATATGACTGACCTCTATGTGAACATATAAAAAAACCAGGTACTATTAGACTACGTGTATAACTGATCTACATTATTATTACTTAATTACCATGACCTACATAATGTCAACGTATAATTAAAAAAATAACTCCATAGACCTGGAGTATGAATTACTTTTACGTGAACATATAAATAAAACATACCACGACTACAAGACTGACCCATATTTGAGCATATACACTATACACAAAACAAAATAAGACTATTAGACCAGGTGGGTGACATATCCATATCTGAACATATAAATTGAACACGTCGACAGACAGACTGGGATTGACTAGTTAAAATGATGGACTTTATTTATGGAGTTTGACATCACATGGGCGGATCTTAACCTGTTCTACAGTTGGGGCTTTGCTTGTACCCGTCTGACATGCAGATGAGCACCACCCACGAGTTTTCGACGGCTCTGCCCATGGACTCCAACGTGGAGCCACCCATTTCCTCCCAGTCGACCCAGATAGTGTAGCCAGCCTCCTGGTGGGGTAGCCAGGGGAGATAGGTTCATTACGGTGAGATGGGTTTATTAAGATGAGATAGGTTTATTGAGGTGATATAGGTTCATT